CCGTCTCCGCCTCGGGCTCCTCCACCACCTGCTCCGCCGCCGTTGGTCGGCCCCCTGGAGTCGGTGGACATTCCTCCTCCATGGCTCCTCCCTCCGTCGGCTCCACCGTGGGCCGCTATTATGGCTGTGGCCTTGGCCCCGCCATGGCTCCCTGCTCTGCCTTCCCCGCCATGGCTCCCTGTTCTGCCTGCCCCGCCATGGCCCCCCGCTCTGCCTGCTCCGCCATGGCTCGCCACTCTGCCTGTTCCTCTTCACGGGCCTGGCCCTCCATCCCTCCCCCAGTTCCGCCTCCACTCCCCCACCCTCCTGGACTTTTTGGGTTTTGTTTGGGCGTCTGGAGCCTCCCTTAGAGGGGGGGATACGTAATGTGGGGTTTTGTGTTTGTGTTTTGTTTCATGTTCATGTTTACATGTCTTTTATTTTGTAATTGTTTCACCCTGTTGGTGTCATGCTTCCTGTTTGGGTTTTGTCTTGTTCATGTTTTCATGTCTTTTATTTTGTAATTGTTTCATGCTGTCAGTGTCATGCTTCCCTTGCCCTCATGTATCTCTGCCTTGTGAATGTGTTATGCTCTCATTGGTTATTGTCTAGTCATGTGATTCCCTTGTCTGTGTTATGTTCTCATTGGTTGTCTAGGTCATGTGTCTTGTTTCCCATTGGTTTGTTCTTGTCATGTGACCCTCATTGTCTGCTATAAGTAGCCCTCATGTTGCCATTGTCTTTTGTCGTGTACTGATGTTGTAACTCTGCTGTTGGTGAGTCCTGTCCATGCCAAGTCAAGTCTGTTCATGTCAAGTCTGTTCTAGTCAAGTCTGTTCATGTCAAGTCTCGGATTATCATTTGGATCACTTGTAAATAAACTGCACGTGGGTTCTCACTTCAATTCACCTTCAGTGGATTGATTCGTTACAGTTATATACATCCACATTTTGCTACCAAGATGTAAATTATTTTTTTGAGTCTCTCCAGAATGTACAGCAGTTGAATATGGTAGATAAAGCCTTTTGTGACAGCCCTATTACCTGGAAATAAATTGTTGATGCGATTAATATGTTTAAAAAATGGAAAATCTCCAGGAAATGATGGACTCACCTTAGAGTTGTATAAGTTATTTGGTAAAAAAAAAATAGCAACTTTTTTTATTCAAAGTTTTTAAAGAAAGCACAGAAAAAAACATTTCTTCCCCCCACCTTATGTCAGGGAATAATTTCCCTAATCCCAAAGCCAAACAAAGATCCCCTTCTCATACACAATTGGCGCCCAATCTCCTTACTAAATAATGACTATAAAATAATAGCATCAGTTCTGGCTAAAAGACTAAAATGTGTGTTAAACTCAATAATTGATGAAACACAGTCAGGATTTCTAGCTAACAGACATATTTCGAACAACATACAATTAATATTAGATATGTTAGACTATTCACATTTACTTCAAAAAGAATGCTTTATTTTATTTTTAGACTATTATAAAGCGTTTCATATGCTAGAACATGAATTTCTGTTTCAAGCACTGCATAGAATTGGCTTTGGTGACCCTTTTAGTAATATGATCAAAATGTTGTTCGTGAACAGTAATAGCTCAATTAAGTTAAGTAATAGTTCCTCTCCCAGATGTTTCTTAAATCGAGGTGTTCGACAGGGATGTCCAGTCTCTCCCTATCTTTTCTTGATTGCAACACAATTTCTAAGTTTATATATCAAAACAAGCCATCTAAAAGGCATCAGTATTGGAAATACAGAAATAATTATTACTCAGTTAGCGGATGATACTGCTCTGTTCTTGGAAGACTTTCGTCAAATACCAAGAGCTCTAGGTATTCTTAAGCGTTTCTCTAAAGCTTTCTCTATTAAGGCTTACATCTTAATCTTAATAAATATGAATTACTTCCAGTTAAAAATAGTACAACTTCTTCAATTAATGGTATTGCAGTTAAAAATGTGTTACATATTTGGGTATACAGATAACTAAAGATAACCTTAGGTGCTCTGCAAATTTTAACCCGATTATTACAAAAACAAAAAAAAGGTTTAATTGCTGGCTACAGAGATACCTCTCTTTGAAAGGCAGAAGTTTGCTTGTTAAAGCAGAGGGCCTATCTCGCCTTACTTATGCCGCTCAATCATTGTACGTTAATAACCCCATATGTAAAGTAATCAATGGAATCTTAACTAAATTTTTATGGAAAAACAAGCCCCATTATTTGAAAAAATCAGTAATATTAAATGATCACATTAATGGTGGTTTAAACTTTATTGATTTTAACTCATTGAATAATACAATTAAAATAAATTGGCTTAATCGTTTCCTCAAAAATCCCACCTCTGTTTGGAATATTTTCCCTCAACATGTCTTCTTGTGTAACTATGATACCCCAAAACTCCCTGTCAAACTATCTAGCTTTCACCAACAGGTTCTTCTGGCATGGACTCTTATTTACAAACATAACTTTTCTCCCCACCGGTGTTACATATGGAACAATAGGACTATTTTATTTAAGAATAAATCTTTGTTCAATAATCAGTAACGGAATATTTCATGTTAGTCAGCTCTTTAACAAGGATGGTGTGCTTTTTAGGTATACAGAATTTATTTTAGAATATAATATACCTGTAACTCCTAAAGATTTTGCAACTGTTATGGATGCTACTCCATCTGGCATATGCATGCTTTTTAAAAACTATACTCTATCTATAGGAACAGTTCCCTTTCCTGAGCATATCAACATGCCTATTGGTGAAATATGTTTCACTGGGAAAAAAGGAAGAAATTATAAAATAAGAACTTTATTCCTTGAGAACATTGTCTCTGCTCCTTCTGCAGTCTCAACCTTTTTGATAATTTAAATTGGAAAAATATATGGTCCATGCAACAAAGACTTTTCTTCACTAACAAAATAAAATAAATAACTTTTAAACTACTCCATAATATTTACCATGTCAAAAATTTTCTTAAGAAAAAATTTGGATCAGATTTTGACACTAAATGCTCCTTTTGTCAGAATGATACTGAAACTCTTCTTCATTTGTTTTGGTCGAGCAACTATACTTTTCAGCTCTGGAAAGATGTTAGTTATTTTATGTACTATCTTACAAGGTTTTTCAATGAATCCTAAATGTGTTATTTTTGGTTTCTTTGAAGCAGATTCAAATGCCTGCTTTATTATAAACCTAATTCGCTTTCTATGAAGATTTTATATTCATAAAACAAAAAAAAGGTCTCAAAACATGTACAGTTTGTACAGCCTACAAACTAATGTATTTAATGTGTATTTTTTATTAATTTGTGTAATGCCCTCATATTTCCTTTTCTTTTTTCCCCTTTGTCTTTTTTTTTTTTTTTATGGTCTTTTTCTGCTTTGCACTATGGTACTGATTGTTTTTTTTTGTTTGTTTGTTTTCTATTGATGTTATTCTTAATTGTTGTTATGTTTTTTTTTTTTTGTTCCATAATGTAAAGTAAATGTTCAAATAAAGAAAAAAAAAAAAGAAGATGTTTATCGCTATGAAATCACGTTCAAGAAGTCCCATTCAGCACACATCGCGATATTTGCCATCAGTTTACGTGTGCCACAGGTTGGATGTGTAAGTCGTAAATATGCTGTCTTAATGTGTTATCAAATTTAATTCTTTATTAATCAGATTAGCGCCGTATGTGTAATCGCTGTATTATATTGGTCATCCGAGGCTGTCTTTGAGTTTCATTGCGTTTAACTAAATGAACACACCTGCTAACTAGGGTGATTAAACGCTATCTGTCACGTGACGTGCCATAAACCTTGTGTGGCAATGCAGAGGGGAGGGGGAGGAGAGTTAATGTACGACTAAGTCAGAACACCCCTAAACCAAAAGAAAACCGACTATGCCACCCCGTAAAGAAACGGGGAAATAACCACCCAAATCAGGGACACAGGTTCGTAGGCTAAGTAAAACCCAAAGAGACGTGTAAACAATGTACAAACGCTTTATTCAAATTGTCACAACAAATTATTAAAACACTCAAGGGCATCAATGTCACGTGTCGGATCACAATTAAACACCATATATCAGCAGCTCTGTATACTACACCAGATAAAGAAACAATTTAAACATACTCACAAAGGAAAACAACCAAATAAACAGGCACAGGCTTTCCAGCAGCAAAGGCAGGCTAGCTGAAGTGAAGATCCTACCTGTACGCTAGTGCATCCCACGCACACACTCACACCCACTCAAACAGAGTAAAACGTGAATCCAAACAACACTGCACTCCACACGATTGCACCATCACCAGTACTCACTACCAGCTAGCCTCCAATGTACAAACGCTTTATTCAAATTGTCACAACAAATTATTAAAACACTCAAGGGCATCAATGTCACGTGTCGGATCACAATTAAACACCATATATCGGCAGCTCTGTATACTACACCAGATAAAGAAACAATTTAAGCATACTCACAAAGGAAAACAACCAAATAAACAGGCACAGGCTTTCCAGCAGCAAAGGCAGGCTAGCTGAAGCGAAGATCCTATCTGTACGCTAGTGCATCCCACGCACACACTCACACCCACTCACACAGAGTAAAACGTGAATCCAAACAACACTGCACTCCACACGATTGTACCATCACCAGTACTCACTACCAGCTAGCCTCCCAGCCTCGGGCCCTACAGTGCCTAAAACAAACACAAAAGAAAATTTTACATTCCATAACACAATAAAACTACATCCATCAACTTAAATCAAAAAGAAAACGATACGTATAAAGAAATAATATCACAATGTTATATTTACAACAAACAAACAGGAAACAAAATATATAGAGCAGGAAAATAACAATGATATTTTAAATGAAACAAAAGAAAGAAAAGAAGTGCACTAAAAGAAAGGGGCGATTACTAAAATATCACTTTTCTTGTGAACAAGAGAAAACGGATCGCACCTACCGAAACGGATCGTTGTGCCGCACGAATTGTACCGTTGCTCTCAACTCATAACAAGCATAGAAGCTCATGCAGGAAGACACCTTCACTGAAGAATTTCACAGCTAAGTAGTAAATAAGCACCGGTTAACATCACCCGATGCTAAACGAGCAGCACGTAATACGAGCAGACATATACCTGACATGTAGTGGACAGCCTGCAACCCAACACAATGCATCAAATGGCCATTCCACGCGCATCTATACACCCGCACTCCATAGGTGCGGTCTCAGCAGTGACGTACACCAGGTGGCATAACTCCAGCCTTAAATACCCGGAAAGACAGGTTCTAATAGGCTATTGTGGATGACAACCACACGCCAATGAGGAAGGATTACGTCACCCACCTTACCACAATCTACCCCCAACTCTTGAATCGTCGCCCCGACGATTATTGCCATTTAACCTAATCCCAAAGCCTAAACAATGCGGATAAGGAACTGGATGAAGCCTCACCGGCTTCGACACTTGCTATCCTCCCTACTGCCTTAGGAAGACGATTGCGATTGGAATGATGGCCGGCGGTGGTTCGCCTTGTACATCTCACTGCCCCACCACCGTAAGACCGACCTAAAGAACCAAGATCAGTCGAGGGTAGTTGACTTGCGGCGCCCTGCCCGGATGGCCCAGGAACCACAGGTGCCTCGCCCTCAGCCTCCACCACAGGCTCCGGTGAGTTGGGGTCTACCGACACCAGGCCCTGACTCCCCAACCCAATAGCAACAGGCCCAATCCCCGGTACCACCCTAAACAAGTCCACTTCCTCCGTGGAGGGAGGCTCCTCCAGTAGTAACTCCTCCATAACTGGCCGCCTATCCTCTGGGGGAGGCACTGGGGAGTCCCCCCCTACTCTGGCGTTCAGCAACGAGCGGTGAACGTGCCTCACCCTATTCACCTCGTTAACCGGTGCGATGGTGTAAACGGAACCTCCTGTTCCGGGCGCCTTTACTACCTGGTACACCACCGAGCTCCAGTGGTCCTGAATCTTGTGACGACCCTTTAGGCCATAGTTACGAAGGTAAACTAACTGGCCTTCGCCCAGGGGTGCATCCCATACGTGGAAGTCATGCCTCTACTTACGGCGTTCCGCTGCTATACGCAGCTGTTCCCAAGCCCCCTCAAAGGCCACCTGCAGTCCCATCTGATGCTCCAACACCCAACTGTTAATACTACCAGAGCCCCTCTCCTGACCACGACCCAACAGAAAATCTACAGGTAGTCGTGGTTCCCGTCCAAACATCAGGAAGTAGGGGGACTCCCCAGTCACTTGATGGGGAGTAGTATTATAACAGAAGAGTAGTTGAGGCAGTGCAGAGACCCAGTCCTTCTTCTGCGAACTGGGCAGCGTACACAGAAGATTGTGCAGCGTCCGGTTAAAACGCTCACACTGCCCGTTGCCTGCAGGGTGCCATGGGGTAGTGTGAGACTTCTCCACCTGATACAAGCTACATAGCTGCTGGATAAGGGATGACTCAAAACTACGGCCTTGGTCTGAGTGGATGCGAGCAGGAACACCAAACTTGCAAAACCACTCCGAAACAAGCACCTGAGCAACAGTTTCTGCCCACTGATGCCGAGTCGGGACCGCCTGCGTAAATTTGGTAAAAACATCAGTCATTACCAATACGTTCTCTACTCCCGAACGTGAGGGCTCCAGCAAGGTGAAGTCAATGGCCAAGATCTCATTTGGCCTTTCTGCCAATAGGTGGTCCATAAAACTCTGAGCAACCGGCTGTGTATCTTTGGCGGCCTGACATCTCTCGCACTCACGGCACCACTGAGCCACATCAGCTGTGAGGCCTGGCCAATAACAACGTTGCCGAACCAGCTAAGTGGTGCGGTCAATGCTCTGGTGCCCATGCCCTTGGTGGACCCGGGCCAAGACCTCACCTCGCAGGGCAAACGGAAGAACCAATTGGAAACCCTCCTCGCCTCCGTCTGGGCGAAAAACACGACGATACAATACGCCCTCCCTATCCACCAGCCGATCCGATTGACGGAGTAACACCAGGGCAGCCTTGGGCAGCTGTCTACGCTCTGCTGGGGAAGGGGGAACTCTTTGTCTCCAAAACCCTAAAATCTGACCAATTACCGGGTCAGCCTGTTGACATATGCCCATGTCACCCTCAAAACCAGGCAACACAGAAACCACTGCCTGAGTTGCCTGTGGACGCAATTCCCCCGCGATCACCTGCTTAACCGTAGCCGGCACGTCAGTTCCCGGCAACAGCGCACTCACCTCGCACTGGCCGGCGGGGTCCTGCCTCGAAAGGGCATCCGCATTTCTATTACTCCTACTTGACCGATACTTAATAGTGAAATCAAATGCTGCAAGCTGGGCAGCCCAGCGCTGTTCAGTAGCAGCAAGCTTAGCTGTTAACAAATGGCTAAGAGCGTTATTGTCAGTATAGACAATACATTTGTGCCCCAAAAGATATTCACGGAACTTTTCAGTCATGGCCCACTTGAGCACCAAGAACTCCAACTTCATGGAGCTGTAGTTAACCATGTTGTGCTCAGTGGGCCTAAGACTGCGGCTGGCATACGCAATGGGTCGTACTCTCCCACCCTGCGCCTGGGAGAGGACTGCCCCCAAGCCACCATAACTAGTGTCTACCTCTAAAATAAAAGGCAGGGAGAAGTCAGTATATGCCAACACTGGAGCCGTCGTAAGCCTAACCTTCAATTCTTCAAAGCTCTGTTGGCACTGTTCTGACCAGGCATCAAGAAAGCTCTTACCCCATGTCACCCTCATAACCAGGCAACACAGAAACCACTGCCTGAGTTGCCTGTGGACGCAATTCCGCCGCGATCACCTGCTTAACCGTAGCCGGCACGTCAGTTCCCGGCAACAGCGCACTCACCTCGCACTGGCCGGCGGGGTCCTGCCTCAAAAGGGCATCCGCATTTCTATTACTCCTACTTGACCGATACTTAATAGTGAAATCAAATGCTGCAAGCTGGGCAGCCCAGCGCTGTTCAGTAGCAGCAAGCTTAGCTGTTAACAAATGGCTAAGTGGGTTATTGTCAGTATAGACAATACATTTGTGCCCCAAAAGATATTCACGGAACTTTTCAGTCATGGCCCACTTGAGCGCCAAGAACTCCAACTTCATGGAGCTGTAGTTAACCATGTTGCGCTCAGTGGGCCTAAGACTGCGGCTGGCATACGCAATGGGTCGTACTCTCCCACCCTGCGCCTGGGAGAGGACTGCCCCCAAGCCACCATAACTGGCGTCTACCTCTAAAATAAAGGGCAAGGAGAAGTCAGCGTATGCCAACACTGGAGCCGTCGTAAGCCTAACCTTCAATTCTTCAAAGCTCTGTTGGCACTGTTCTGACCAGGCATCAAGAAAGCTCTTACCAGCTCGCACCCGGGGCCTGACATCAGCACACTCAGCCACCACCTGGTGCAGGGGAGCCACCAACTTTGCAAAGCCCTGCACGAAACGGCGATAGTAGCTGGCAAACCCTAGGAATGAGGGTAATTCAGATGCACTGGTGGGACGCCGCCAATGCGAAACTGCCTCAATCTTCCCGGGGTCAGTAGATACACCCTGAGCAGAGATCACATGTCCCAAATATTTCACCTCCTTTTGAAAGAACGTGCACGTCGCCAATTTGGCCTTCAAGCCCTCATGCTCCAAGCGACCCAACACAACCTCCAACCGCTCAAGGTGCTGCGAAACGGAAGAGGAGAATACCACACTTGGATCAGTTTTATATTAATATCAGGTTCAAAGATGTAAGTTGTATTTGTAGTAAAATCATGGTAACAACGACACTTACAATAGTAACTAGTTTTACTGTGAAATTTGAAGTTAAAAGCCAGTTAACAGGACATTTACCATGTTTTACCACAGTAACTGTAGTTTTACTGTGATATGTATAGTAATAGCACAGTAATCACCAAACGTACTATGGTTGTACCACTGTAATGGTAGTTTTGATGTGCTTTTATGACAGATATCACAGTAAACACAACAAATTTACTGTACCATGCTTGTAATACCTTTTAATGTAAAATAAAAAAAATAAATAAATAAAAAAATCTGTATTTTTCCCATCTTGCAGCATTCTCTATATAATTCTATTTTATTTCCTTTCCCTTTTCTTTTATTTTATTTTTAGCTGAAAAGACGTAAAGGAAGCAGTCAGCCCAGTCGTGTTTGTGGAGCGGTATTCCTTCAGAAACGGAGAAGATAGAAAGCTGTGGAGGCAGACATTTGCAGCGGTAGGTTTGCAGGTCTTCGAGCCGGTCACGTGACTGAAAGCTATGTGGCTGCTGTGTGACGACCCCCCCAAAAATAATGAGTGCATGACGCCCCTGTATATACTGTATATTCTTTTCTCCTTTTTTAACTGAAAAGACAAAAAACGCCTTTCAGACTCATCTTCTTCATGGGGAGGTATTAATTTGGAAGACCTATGCAGAAACGGAGAAGACAGAAAGCGTCAAAGGTAAACAAAGTGGTATGACTGTGTTGGTTTTTACCTTAAATCAAACATTCCTGCTGTTATAATTTGCACAGCATTTGTTGTTTCTTAAACTTTTGCCCTGTCCAAATACCCACACTTGTGGTCTTTGCACTTGACCACTTGATTACTTATTTGACGTATTTCCTGTATTTGGCCCAAGTGTTCAAGTGAGCCTGAAGACCACAAGTGTGTGTTGAACTTTTCATTACCTTAATGGACACACTTATAGTGTTGTAAAAATGCAAATGTTTACAGAGATTTATTTTAGTTTCAGCATTTTAAAATAAACTTCTAAATGTCTGTTCAGTAGTCCCTATAACAGATGACTATTTAATTTGTGGTGATAAAAAGCAGTTGCAAATGATGTACAAAATAAATATACTTTTCTTTGCACCAATAAAACATGCAACACTTTGTTTTACTACCAAATTATTTGTAATATCTAATTATTATTATTAATATTTGACTTACATTGGAAATGTTTCCGTGACCTCTCGAGATAGTGTGGGTTTAGTGTGCGTTAAGGGCACTGCGCTTTGGCATTATTAAGACCTCGGACGGTCTTGTGCATGCACTGTCACGTACACGCGCTCTCAAGTGGCCAAGATCACAAATGTGAGTATTTGGACAGGGTAAAAGTCTTAAAAATGCCCCATTAGTAAGAACCCTAAACACAGTCTC